CTCGCCATGATTTCCTCCTTTAACAAAAGATCATTCAACTGCCTTGCTAATTCTTTCTCCCTTCTGGACGAACCGCGGTAGAGCGAGTTCGCCTTCTCCCTCTCAAACTCCTTTCTCACCTTCTTCAACTTGTGCTTTATATCCCCAAACTTCTTCTGTTTCCAATCGGTTAGGTGGGTCTGCATGCTATTTAAAGAGGAGTTTAGGTCCTCAAGTGTAAAAGCTCCTTTCTCCCATGCAGCCACCATCGTGGGCTCGTACGACTCTTCCCGTCTTCATGCTTCCTCGTACACAAAACGACGAGGACCACTGTCCTCCCACTCCACCAGCTTATTGATTTTAATGACTAGCATACAGTGATCCGACTGTGGAGAAGGTACATGTCTCACTCCCGTATCTCCATATTCCTGGATGAAGCTCGGGTCGGCCAAGTATCTGTCCAAGCGAACCTTTACATTTGCGGCTCCTTCTTGACGATTATCCCAAGTATACGGGATCCCCGTGAAACCCAAGTCCTGGAACTTGCATTCATCAATGGCCTCCCGAAACCCTTGCATTTGCCACTCAACTCTTTCATTAGCCCCGAAGTATTCCATGTTGTCTGTTATCTCGTTAAAATCCCCACCACATAGCCATGGAACGTCACTTTGACACCGTAACCACTTCAAAAGTGTCTAGCTCTCTCTCCTCTCACTCCTCTTTGCTTTGGCATAAAAGCCTGTAAAACGCCACTCTTTCTGGTCGCTGCCCACATTCCTCACCATTACATCTATATGCTGATTAGACAAATTGTTGAGCTTCACATCCACTTCTCTAGACCACAAAAGGGCAAGTCCTCCGCTCAGTCCATCACTGCTGACCGGAATACATCCTTCAAAACCAAGTCTTGCTCTCATCTCCGTGACCTTCTTTCCCTCAATCTTCGTCTCAGATAAGAAGACTAAGGTGGGCGCTTCAATTCTCACCAAATGGTGGAGTTCACGAACTATCTCCGAGTTCCCAAGCCCGCGACAGTTCCACGTTATGCAATTCGTTTCTCCTGGCGGGGTTGTTCATCAGCCACCGCCTGCTCACTAGTACTTCCTCCTTCCACAGGTTTTTTCTTCTTTGAGTCCCTACTATCTTCTTTGGATGCGCTCGGTTCATCGCCTTCCATAGATCTCTTCTTATTCCAAGTGTCCTGATCCAGAATCATAAGCTGGTTCGATGTGTTGGTAAGGCCCTCAGGCCCCACCTCCACTCGATGGTACACACCACGGCCTCTGCCTCTACCTTTGTTGTAGCCCCTCCCCGGACCAGCGCGACCAGCAGCACCGCCCCGTGAGTTAAATTGGTACACTACGTTTCTGACCAAACCTTGCTTCTTTTCCAGTGGTGATGTTACCTCCTCTCCTTTCTCTCCTTCCTCTTCTACATCATCCCATTCATCCTCTCCCCTGGCTCCCTGCCCACCAACATCGTTGCTCCTTGGGGGTGCATTCGCCCAGTTCTTGCGAGACCCAGACCATCTGAGCTTCTCTCCGTACGGCAGGCATCCAGCATCATCCGGTTCCCCAGGGTCCAGGCAGAAGGTGTCTGCATGTCCAAGCCGGCCGCACGAGAAACAAAAATACGGCAGTCCTTCATACTGAATATCATACATCACAGATTCTTTCATCCTTGCAGATTCTAGCTACACCCACCTCATTAGGGGTTCCTGCACTCTTATCCATATACGTGTTCTAAGGGACTCGCCAAAAGCAAAACCCTTTGAGTCCACATCCAACTTGATTACTTCTCCCAGCATCCCTGCAATGCGCTCAGGCCATGGCGGGTACCGAAGGATGAATGGCAGGTTGATTACCCTCGCCCAAATCTGCAACTTCTCAAACTTCCAATCGGATGGCCTGGCCCTGACATCAAACAGTTCCAGGATAACTGCGTGTTTCCCCACCATCCACGGCCTGCCTCCATAGATGCGATCACGATCTCTCTGATTCTCCAAGTTTGCCACAAAGGTGTTCTCCCCTACCGGGTTAAAGCTCAATCCCTTCGGGTTTCCCCATGCCGGTCGGAGGGCATCTGTGATAGAGTTTACGTGGATAAACTTACGATGCAGAACCCTACCCACCAGCGCCACTAGAGGTGCCTCTCCTTCCCCCTCCTGATCATCTACTACCAGCTTCTTGTTTTCCTTGTCCGTCAACTTCATCTTCTCCATCATATGCTCCACTTTCTCCCTCGATTTCCTTGATTCGTCCGACGCCATGTCGCACCTCCCTCAAAACCCTAGATGCCACCTCCCATCTGTGCCCCAAGGGTGGGTAGGGGTACCAGGACCCCCCTTGATCACCCCGAGAGCAGCCGCAGAGGAAGCGCCGATCAGAGCTTGGATACAGTGCGAAGATCGTCCAGGATGGGTGTGCGCGCGTTGGAGATCGGGATCACCGCCGCCGCCGCCTGTCCTGCCACTAAACCCTAGAAAAATGGTTTGGGCTTTCTTCAGGCCGCGATTTCTTGTTTTTTTGCATCGGATCAACTTGAGCGAGGGTCAAAGCTCAATGTTTATCCGCTCAAATGGCCCATGATATCTGGGATGGAAAAACAACCAGCGACGGCGGGACGCGGCACCCTGCTCTGCCTATATATAGACTCACAAAGCCATTTGCAAAGGGAGAGGCCTCGCACCAGGAGGCACCAGGGGCACGCGTATACACCGCCGCCCTTCACATCCGCGCACGATCAGGGAGAGGAAGGACTCACGCACGCCGGCGTGCACGGAGAGAAGGCCGGTGTTCATCCATCTACACCGGCGTGCACGGAGAGGAGGAGGCCGGCGTTCATCCATCTACACACAAGGGATCTCGGCGGCATCGACATGAACACGAAGTTCACTCTTCCGGATGGTGAGATGATCATCTAATTTTTCTCTTGTCTCTCTCCTTCACATCCAGCATGCATGCCGAGGTACGTGCCGGTCACCGGAGATGACACTCGTGTGATCCCGTCGCCGCCGTAGGAGACGACTTCATCGGTACAGAAAACTGCCTCGGCACCATCCGAGTTTGTCTACGCGAAGTCTTTCTCTTTCAGGTGTTATATTCTTGGCTGGAGATGACTTGGGAGCAGCCGGAGCTCGCCAACGACGCAGCCCAACGGCTAGCCCCGATGCCCTACCGTGGCGGCTTTCATGGCGCTCGGTGAACACCCCCTGATGTACAGGTCGCGACACACAAATGGCGACGAACAGAGCCACGGTGAACATGTTCATGGCAAAGGGTACACCGACGTACAGGTTTTGCATCACACCCTTGGAGGAGACGGCGTGGCGGAATCGGAGCGCGCTGACGACGCTGCCCGAAACCCGCCTTTCCCATCGCGGCGTACAGGTTTTGGCATCACGCTCTTGGAGGAGACGGCATGGCGGAACCGGAGCTCGCTGACGGTGCATCCCGAGACTCGCCTTTCCCATCACGGCGTACAGGTTTTGCGTCGCACTTGTGGAGGGGATGGTGCGGCAGAGCTGGAGCTCGCTGACGGCGCAGCCCGAGACTCGTCTTTCCCATCACGGTGTACATGCCCTTGATGAAAACAATATCCGCAACCACATATCTAAGACGGGTTCCTCCTTCACGAGGCACGCGTCCCCGACGAATAGGTCAATGGCGTACAAATCCTTCACCGAGCCGGAGTTTGCAGCGACGCAATACAAGACCGGCCCCTCCTTTGTGAGGTGCACCCACCTTGGCGAACAGGTCCATGGCGTCGCTAGCGTACAGGTCACCCCTTGGCGTAGCACCAGCCCAAGGCGATACGGCCTCTACAACGCCACCTATCCACGGCCTCGTGGGGCGGCCTCCTTTGTCTTGTCGGACCGCCGAATACTCGGCGTCTAGCCGAGACGAGGTGCCAACCATCCCGGCCACGCCAACGTGAGTGCGTGTGCGTTTTTACGCTGACGCCGGTCTCCCAAACCGTTACACCCGCAAGGCGTAGCCCCTTGAACACCCCGATAAAGCAACATGTCGTCGAGAAGTCTAAGCCGAGCGCGACCCAAGTTACTCCAACACCAACTACTCCAACGCCAACAAGACCGACGAGGCACGACGGCGAGGGCGGGCGCGGCCACCGCTAAGGCCACGCTACATGCGGCACGTGTACCGACAAGGACACGGGCTCTGCCGCCGCCCACACACACATCATCATCATCATGCATGGAGAACGCGAAGCGAAGACGACAAAGACGACCATACGGCTTAATTGGAGGTATCCCGTGGAGTAACCCGCGGGAGTAATTAACCGGGAGCCTCCCGAGGCCCCGGGAACAAGGAGACCACAATGGCTACAGTCAGGCAGGCCGCGCTAGTAGGCCACGGAGCGCATATGTAAAGGGATCTTATAATTTTATTTCTCCAATGAGAGATTAATAAAGTGCATGTTTCCCTATGTTTATTTGTGTACTTAGTACACTCGCACGCCCGCAATTTTTTTATTTCCCGTGGCGCGTAGATAGATAGTAACACGATAACCATCGTTGTTTGTTATTATTTTTCGTGTCAAACAGGGTGATTGGATGCGGGCGCGCGGAGCTGGTTGGGTGAAACCAGTTGCACCTCAAAACGGGTAAACCAGCCAACCAGCGTGCGGCGTGAGCCCGCCCGTCATTGGACAACAAAAATGACCACTAAGTGAAAATCAGTTTTAACCGCTGTGGAGATCCAACGGCTTGGACGCGCTTGAAGAGCAGATCTGACGGCTAACGAGTGCCCAATCGGGGGAGCCTTCTGGAGGTGAGTTGGCTAGCCTCATTATTTTTTAAAATGGCTTTTCCATTTCCTGCGTACTATTTTATCAAGAGCTTAATAAGATAATCACACTTCCAATAACACAAAATTAAGATCGAGTAGCACAATGCCTTTTCAAGTGCTCCTCCACTTATTTAGCCATGCATTTAAGTGCTGATGCAGATGTAGATGTAGAGCAACCGGCGCCTAGATGCTTATAGGTAGTACATCTCATCATCACGAGCAGTTGTTCGGCATGGTGAGACTGCACTTGCCGGGCAGCGCCATGGCGCGGTTTGCATCGATGTGGTACATTCTCAGCCATATGCCGGCGATGCCATTGTAGCGACAGATGCATGATAGGTTGGCCATCCCAAGCGCATCACAACATTCAGCCGACGGACTGTCTTTTGGGTTATTCACTGCCGCCGCAGGCTGGAAAAGCTTGAATTCATCATTCGACATGCCACAGATGCCATGAACACCCTCTAGTGCGGCTAGGGACACCACCATGACAAGCAACAATGTTGCAGCCAATGCCTGTGACTTATCCATGGATGCTAGTATTGTTTATTTTTCTGGTGGATTGCTAGTGAAGATTTTGGTCTTAGCTAGGTCTTATTTGGGAATGTGTGCGATGAATGTTTAGTGTATGACTCTATTTATAGAGGCAGGCCTCTGTGTTCATGAAGTGTGTATTTTGCATCAAGGAAAAACTTAGGGGCACTAAGTGATGCCCACATGTAGAAGCATTATCGCCTTATATCATGTAAAAGAATCTGCACTTGAACTCACTGTTGAATGAGAACGACTACCATAGTTGGCAACAAAGAAATGTAATGAAGCAAAACTAATGATTCTTTTGAAAGATTGGTGCAAAAATCTCCGTAATGCAACATGAGGAGTACGCCGCGAAGACCAGTTCTTCGCAATGATAAAAAGCGATTCTGGTTAATCACTAGACAAGGACGTTCGCTAGCTAGCTTGAATGAAGCATTAGACACTGTAACTAACTGGATGCATGCACCAACTATAGCTTGAGATATTTTCTTCAGACCATAGAGTAATCAGCTTGATCTTGGGGTGGTGCTAGCTTTTGCCGACTTAATTCAGTAATGCTGGCAGGCGAACACGTAACACAACGCATTACAGATTGTGGCGGGGGTGGAAGGCGAGCTCAATATGGGTTTGGGGGCGTGGCATTAGTCTGTGGCTCTGTGCCTCTGTTGTGGTCGAACCAGGGTGGCGCGCTGGCAGTTCGACCATTACCGTGGGAGGCGAGCAGGTCCTCACTTTTCCTAAGACTTGCCCCTCTTGTCAAGCCGAGCGCCGGTTGCCGCCACCGTCCTCCTCCCGGTCGAGCGCGGCCATTACTCCCCAACCCGCCGGACCAGCGACATCATCCTTTTCCCTCCGACCAAGCCGCCTGCTTCGGGAGGAGACCACAAGATGCGTGGGGTTGTAGGCCCCACTGCTCACCGTCAGCGATCTCTAGAGTGACTCTCTGACGGCTCGCTTCGTCCCCTTACACTCCTGATTTTTTCAGCATCAAATTGATTCTCCTGTCATATCGTTTCTGCTCCTTCGAATTAGTTTGTCTTGATCATGCGTCCATCAGCTGTTCTGTTTCCATGAATTACCATGAACTACTCAACTGCGTTTACATGAAGGATCTTGCTGCCATAAATCCATATACAAGGTAACAGAAAGAAGTGCACAACCTTGGATACCGAGATTAATTGAGAGGCTCTCATCTAACTTAAGTTTGTAATTCATATCTTGTGGCAGGTTACTTCACCCATCGTGACCAGCTTAACAGATTGCTCAGTTGCTGATGTTCTTGCTCATGTTTGTTGTTTGCTACATCTTCGAATTAATCCAGTGTTTAATAATAATGACAGAGTCCAACAAGATGCCAGAAAAGGCTGATTGTTCATCAATTTAAAGCGGCGTGGTACTCTTAGTTATGAGCTATCTGGGATGAATTAAAAAAGTGTAATTCGTTTGTGCATTCATCATCAATCAGGAAGACTATGACAATTTGATGAAGTCGCTACGGGGAAATGATCCTTCGTGGCCTTCCTTAATGTTGAATGTGTGCTTCTTCCTTCCTTCTTGTTTACCATGGCCGTGCCTTGTGGTTTATGTACTACCCGATGCAAACTAACGTTTTTGCTCCCCACTCTCTGTACCTCAAACTCTAGTTGTGCAGGGTGTTGAAGACTTCAGATAAGCTGCTGAGCTGCGCAAATTGAAAGCTGAGCGGCTGCTCGAGAAGGTGGAGAAACTGGAGCACGTCTTAGAGAGGGGAGATCGTGCGGTGGGATCAATTATAGAGGTTCTCCAGAGCATGTAGCTCACCGAGGATCACCAGACCTCCAAATCCTGCCTATACCAAGTAGTGAGCTTGTGGTGGCGTAGATGTTGTGTTTGATTATGCAAACCAGGAGTCCTGCCTTTCCTGCTAGCGTTCTAGCACATGTCCATTTACTAGATCCTGGTAGAATGGTTCCTGAATTGAACGAACCAAAATGCTATATGCTTCCAGGATCTATTTGTCTAGAAGCCTGAAAAGTGTTAATGCTAAAGCCGTGCATGTTTTCTAAAGACACTTCTGCTTCGGCACACCCCCCTAAACATATCAACGGCTGTGATTACCCCATACCCCTTCGTAACAAAAGGCATGATGGTATTTTTTAAAAGTACGTACTATAAAGAAAAATATTTTTAAGGGCATCGATGATTTAGAAGAATTTTGGAAGATTGTACTAAAATATTTTGGAAGAATTTTAAGGGCCTCAATGATTTAGAAGTATTTCGTAGGAATTTTTGTTGGTATGTAAGATTGAGAATTACATATGATTTTTTTATGGTCTAGTTTGCATGCAATTTCATAGAAAAGTACACTAATATCATGGTAATTCTTCCCTATTCTTATGACAACTATGCAATGCAACTGGCCCTTTAGGAATGTGTATTGTTTCTACAATGCAACCAACAACTTACGTTACAATTCTACCGGCCCCCTATTTCTGCATTTTTAGAATAGTAGGAAAGGAGGCCCTCAATATGAAATCAGCAGTCTCAGTATTCTTTCACACAATTTATGAAATCAAGTGATAGTCTTGCCCCAAAAAAAGAAAAAAAAGAATGGGTTGCAGTCTTGACCGGTTGAAGATTGTAATCTTGAGAGCAGGGACGAAGATAGAAAAAAAGCTTGATGGGGTCATATCCATGGCAATGGGGTCATCTTCTATAAATCAACAGTGGTCATTACTAAGTTAATGAAGGATTTAGTAATTTCATTGGGGTCAATTGACCCCAATGCCTACATGCCAGCTCCGTCCCTGCTTGAGAGAAAATCAAGGGTAGAATCCTAAATACACTAGAATGAGTTTAATTCTGACGTGAATGTGGTGACAACAGTGTTCAAAACGAAATAGTTTACTACTAGTAATTTTGCATAAAACAGGATACCACATTCTTGTGCTTCAAACACGATAATGGCAATCTGCATGACACAACACACAGAGATAGTCTGACTGCTCTAAGATGCAAGATCTGCAGCCGGCAGATCCATGCCTGTTAAACTATGGTTTGGTGGAAACTGGCTGAACACATCTGGTGCGTGGCCTATCACTTTATATAAGGTACCAAGAGGTACAATACAGGTACAAATACAGTTGTCGTACAATATACAGTCTAACACCCTCCCTCAATCTTAACTGTGGCCTGAGGTACTCAGTAAGTTAAGATTGCGTCTACAGCCTATGAACAGAGGAAGAGACAACGGTTTGGTGAAGATATCAGCAAGTTGATCCTTGGAGGAGATGAACTTGATCTGCAGGAACTTCTGTGCAACACGTTCTCTCACAAAATGATAATCAACTTCGATGTGTTTCATTCGGGCATGAAATACCGGATTTGATGAGAGGTATGTAGCGCCGATGTTGTCACACCAAAGGATAGGAGGCTGACTATGAGAGATCTTCAATTCTCTGAGGAGGGACTGGACCCAAATAAGCTCAGCAGTGGCATCAACAATTGCCTTGTACTCAGCTTCAGTGCTACTCCGAGAAACTGTAGCCTGCTTCCGAGCACTCCAGGCGATCAGATTAGGTCCAGAGAACACTGCATATCCCCCCCGTGGATCGCCGGTCATCTGGGTTACCAGCCCAGTCTGCATCACTGAAGGCCGAGAGCATGCTAGAGGGCGCCGACCGGATATGAAGGCCATACGAGGTTGTGGAGCGAACATAACGCAGAATACGCTTGACAGCAGTCATGTGAGGCTCTCGAGGGGTATGAAGATACTGGCAGACACGATTAACGGCATACGAAAGATCAGGCCGTGTGATGGTAAGGTACTGAAGGGCTCCAACAAGGCTTCTGTACTTTGTAGCATCATCAGCAGAGAGGAGAGTCCCATCGGTAGCAGAAATAATCTCAGTGGATGGCATGGGAGTAGTAGCAGCCTTGCACTCCAACATGCCAGCACGCCGCAAGAGATCCTGAGAGTACTTCTGCTGAGAGAGAGCAAGACCATCTGGTGGATATGTGACTTCCAGGCCAAGAAAATAGTGAAGTTTGCCTAGATCCTTGACAGCAAAGTCAGAACTAAGAGCCAAAACCAAACGATCAGTCGCCGCAACAGAGGAGCTGACAAGGATGATATCATCAACATAGACCAGAATGTACATGGTGACTTCCGGTCGCTGAAGAATAAACAGTGAAGTATCAGCAGTGGAGGGCACAAATCCATGAGCACGAAGTGCAGAACCCAGGCGAGCATACCAAGCACGAGGCGCCTGTTTGAGACCATAGAGCGCTTTCACCAAGCGACAAAGATGCTGAGGATGATCAGGGTCAACATACCCAGGGGGCTGATGCATGTAGACCTCCTCCTAAAGAACACCATGCAGAAACGCATTCTGAACGTCCAACTAACAAAGGAACCAACCTCGTGTGACAGCAAGTGACAGAAGCAGACGAATAGTGGTTGGCTTAACAACGGGACTGAAGGTATCCTCGTAGTCCAGACCATACCGTTTCTTGAAGCCCTTAGCAACTAGCCGAGCCTTGTACCGCTCAATAGAACCATCCGCATGTCGTTTGACCTTGAAAACCCATTTAGAATCAATAATGTTGATACCTAGATGGGTGAGACCAGCTGCCAGGTGCCATTCTGGCGAAGAGCCTGAATCTCGAGGTCCATAGCAGCATGCCAGTGAGGTATACTCATCGCTGCTTGAAAGTGTCGAGGTTCCGCAGTAGGATCAGATTGCGCATGGGCCAAGCAAGCAGCAATCCAGGCAACAGTGCCATCTTTCCATACCTTAGGCCGGTGAATACCACTCCGGCTACGTGTATGCGGCCGAAGGACCAGAGGAGCTGGAGGAGGGTCAGTAGCTCCCTCGTCAGCAGAGGCTGGCGATGATGCAGGAGACGGGCTCCCAAGTGGCAAGGCCGCCGGTGATGCAGATGCTGGCGAGTCCGGCCCAGGCGGAGAAGCGGATCCGGGCGAGGTGGGAACGGACGAGGCAAGCACAGGGGAG